CACACTGTCTCACAGTCTCACACACTGTCTCTCTCACACTGTCTCACACACTGTCTCACAGTCTCACACACTGTCTCTCTCACACTGTCTCTCACACACTGTCTCACACATTGTCTCTCACACTGTCTCACACACACTGTCTCTCACACTGTCTCTCACACACACACTGTGTCTCACACACTGTCTCTCACACTGTGTCTCTCACACTGTCTCACACACTGTCTCTCACACTGTCTCACACATTGTCTCTCACACTGTCTCTCACACTGTCTCACTCTCTGAGGTTTCTTTAATCCTCAGAATTCGATGCTCACTTTTCATAAACTTTCTTTTTGGCTCTGAATCGGTCTTTCTTACATATTCTTTCTTCCTGGGCCTCCTGCCACATCCCCTCACTCCTCTTCTCCTCTCATCCACCGAAGAGTTCAACGTCAGTCTGTCGAAAATAAAAACTCTTTAATTAAGTTTACCGCTCTGGAGACTCGTCCTCTCTCATCTCTCTCTCCTCTCTCCCCCTTTGCAACTCTCTCAATAATGTTTTTCTCACTCGCTCTCCTCATTCACAATATCCCCTCCACTATTCTTCTCTTCTGCTGCTCTCTCTCTCTCCCCTTCACTAAATCCCTCTGTCCTTCCCTCTCTTCTACTGAGGGTCTCTTCTTCCCACTCATATTTCCATCGAGCATTCTCCTCATTCTCCTCTCCCACTTTCTCCTCGTCTGCTCGGCAGCTCTCATGTTCTGTTCCCAGGCCTCTGATTGGCACCGAGCAGATGTTGCCCAGCTGTTGAGGAGCAGATAGACTGCTCCTTTTAGTCTGTTTAGCCCGAACCTCCTCGACTCGCCTGCTCCCGATCTGTCTGTCGTCTGTCTGTCTTCTTATGGCACCAAATCACAACAAGCATTATTCTCATAGCACTGAGTCACAGTTTGAAGAGGTCGAATATTTTGAAGGTAGAAATGAGCTCAGTAGTGAAACATCATGTGAGAGCTTCAGGCAGCAGGACGTCAGCCACGGGTACGTTTCAGCTTTAGAGCGCACGACTGATTCTATGGTTCCAACTGGCGCTCACACTTTCCAAACCCAAAACCTGAGAGCGAAGCTAAGTGACGAAACACAACTCCTCTGAAACATCACACACCAAGAAACATATCGACAGAGAATCTGAGTCTAATGACTCGAAAACAGGAAAATGTTTTCTGATCTGTTTAATTTGTTATTATTATTATAAATTTAGTAGTAGTAGTTGAAGTAGTAGTAGTAGTAGTAGTAGTGGCAGTAGTAGTGGTAGTAGTGGCAGTAGAAGTAGTAGTAGTGGCAGTAGAAGTAGTAGTAGTGGCAGTAGAAGTAGTAGTAATAGTAGTAGTGGCAGTAGTAGTGGCAGCAGAAGATCATATTTCCTTGAACCTCCTTCCATATTAAATCATTTTAAAACAGCAGTACATATTTTTAATTCTATTGAACTTGATTGACTTTATCTTATTGATTGTTTTGAATGATGTGATTGTTTTTAAGTATAGTTTGTAAATCCCTACACGTACGTGGCCTCACTGTTAATGTTCAGGTGTGTTTGAACATTACTACTCAATTAGCCGCAGGACAGAGTTTGTCTGCTGTGTGCAGAAACAACAGATTCCATCTTCTCCCCGTGGTTTAAGATTATCTGCAGCAGCTTTTCACTGAAGATGAAAAGTAATGATCAGAAAACTGTTTATTCATCAGCTCCAGATTCTACAGTTTATCATCATCATCGTTTTCCTTCCCTGTTTTAATTTACTGAGCTGAACGCTCTGAGCACAAACCACAGAGGAGTCGGCTCAGCTTTGAGCTGAAGAGGTCAGATGCTGACATTAGGTGGGTTCAGCTTTTGTGAAGTTTTTTTTTTAGTGACTTGCAAATTAAAGGCAGATTTTTGAAAAATAAACACAAAATCAACATGTTGCTTTATCTCTTGTCAAACGGTGTCAAGTGCTGGTGTTGACGAGGGAGTTGAAGAGCGGAGGAAATCTAAATATCTGTTCTGTGGCCTGAGGGGAGCTTCAGTCCAGCTAATCATCCATGGACTAGGATCAGACACTGAAAATACATCTATACATTTATATATCACATCTTCTGTTCCTATAGTGTCCATTCATCATCGCTCCTTTAATGTGAAAAATCTTTTCTTCTTTATTTCCCCCGTTCTTTCTTCTTATCTAATTTTATAAACGGGACCTTCTCTTGCTCTGTTTCAGAAAATTAGCTCCTGACGTGTTGTGTAGTCAGTGTTTGTGGGGCAGCAGCAGATTGTCCGGCTCGTTAACAACAACAGGAACACGTCCGTCACGTGTTAGAAACCTCATCAACACGTCCACTCGCTCACTGAGAAGTTTCCACACGTTTTACCAGGAGGCTTCTCACAATCATTCCCCCAGAAATCTTCAGGAAATGTTGGTGTTCAGTTCATGTCTGAAAGTAGCCAATGGTTTAAAAAGAGAAAAGCACTAAGTGATAAATCTTTAACAGCCTCAACGGTTGCTTCTGACGAACGTGGTCACACCCAGAGGCCGGAGGGGACGTGATGAAGAGGATGAAGAGGATGTAGAGGCGGAGATTGGATCGGGGTACGCAGACCGTGGTCCATAATGTCTGCTCTGCTGCTTCCCAGAAACAAGCTCACTTCACTTGTGAATAACCAAACTCCCCAAACCTCGCAGTTATTCTACTTAGGATTCAAATCACTCTGGAAACTCTGAATTTTGTATCAGGCTTCGGCGCAGAAACAAATCTAACCTTCACCCTGCTGCTCTGATGCAGCGGTGCTGAACATTAGGAGCCAGGGTTGATGCCACAGCTCTTCAACAACATCCTGCCTTTACAAATGTTTACAGCGGCATATTGTAACTCTCAGTGTTTGCTTAATGTGCTGCGGAGCCACGACCTCCTCGGGCTTGTTAGTTTTGAAGCATCTCTTCACACATGAGGAGAGCGGTTCACACAGAGGCCACAACTGCATAATCACTTCACATGACAACACATTTCCTTTTCTCATATCAATGTCAGGTTAAACAGAAAAGAAAGAAAACACCCTCCAGCTATCACTCACAAATCTGTGGAATAAACCTGCTCAGACTCAATTGTTCAGCCGATTAACGTTAACAGGTTTAACCAGAGGAAATAAAATGACTGATATTATTCTCAGTTTTTTCTGAGCTCAAAGATAAAGACGAATAGATGAGGACGTGACCGTGCTCGTTCACCAGGTTCACCAGTGTGAACAACATTCAAACATTTCTTACAGCAACACTAGGTAACTAGTGTCTGGCTGAATATCTGAGATGAACTTTAATAACTTCTTATTGTGCGTTTTCACACCTTGTTTGTTTCAGACAATAACACATGTTATAATTATAAATAGAAGTGAAGCTGTTTTTAGATCAACTGCTCTTCAGCCTGATCCGTGGCTAAAATGAAATCGGTGCATCGGTGGTAACAAGCACACGTTCTCTGGCTCCATCGGTGGAGTCGCTCTCTAATAAAGATCTTATCTGTGGAACTCTGGGATGAACTCGTCTGAACTCGCTGCTTCTATAGTCACTCTCAGTAGAGCTCATTCCTCGACCGACAGCCGGCAGTCCCTTGAATTCCACCAAATAATATATCCTCAATAACGTCAGTTCCCTAAACAAAATATAAATCACCATGTTAAAGAAAGAGAAACAAATATCTTGAAGTACAATATCAACTTTTCATTCTTATTTTCTTTCTTAATTCACTTTAAATGTGGTCCTGGTGTATGTTTATTTTACGGTAGCTGTGTCTTTTCATTGATGTATGAAATACTATGAATTTATTACGAGCACAGGAGAACAGATATTATTTTCTTTATTATTCTCTCTCTAGTTCTTTTAAGTAGCTGTCCATCAATTCCCTGATGTCTTTATGTCTCATGTGATTGACACAGGTCTTTTTTTTTTAATGTACGCCTTCAATTCATCTGGAAAATAAACACAATGATTGCAGGAGTAGATATACGATAATAATTATAAAAACACTTATTTCTTTACTCGTCGAACAAGAAAACCAATAAAAAAGGAAGAAACTAAGTGTAGCAGCAGGAGTGAGATGGAGCTCTTCTCTGAGGCTCAGGTGTGTTCTGGAAGAAATGAACGTTTCTAAATGTTCATGTGTCTGAATCTTCTCAAACCAAGATATTTGAACCCTCTGACCTCTGCAGTCGAAATGTTCCTTCTAATGATCCGACCTAAGATGAACAACACTCATCTGTTAACATGGAGGAGGAGGGTTTATGATGTTAACACGTCTGTGTCGGACCTTCACCCACGACTGGCCAGCTACAAAAACAGGAAGTGGACCATCACACAACGGATCATCATCATCATCACAATGATCATCATCATCACAATCATCTTCATCATCATGATCACAATGATCATCATCATCACAATCATCTTCATCATCATGATCACAATGATCATCATCATCACAATCATCTTCATCATCATGATCACAATCATCATCAGCATCATCATCATCATCATGATCACAAT